ACAGACATAAATGAGGTGGGTGGAGCTCGGCCCCTGCTTGCTCGTGCTGTGCCCCGCGTCTCTCTCTCTCTCTCTCTCTCTCTCTCTCTCTCTCTCTCACACACACACACACACACACACACACACACTCATGCGTGCAAGGCCCTAGACTAAAGGGGACTGGTTTGAGGACGGAGGCCTAGGAGCCAGAACAGGGAAGTAGTTTGGGTCTCCTGTTGGGACCATGGGAGGGATGATCATGAGCCAGGGCCATGCTAAAAGTGCAAGAAGTAAGCCAGCCTATGGTCAGTGGGTCCAGGATAATAAGTGTTCCTTAGCCCTGGGGCAGAGTGGACCAAAGGCCCAGCTTAACCAACCTCTTCATGATTCTTCTTCAGGTAGGCCAGTTCCTCCTTCAGGCCTTCGATCTGCATCTCCAGATCAGTCCTGGACAGAGTCAGTTCATCCAGCACCCTTCGCAGGCCATTGATGTCAGCCTCCACACTCAGACGCAGGGCCTGCTCTGTCTCAAACCTTTCCAAGGAAATAATGCAGTCATGCTAGTGCTGGCTCTGCATCTCTGCCAACTTCCCCAGGGTTCAGAAGTCTGTGGGGGCTTGCTTCAGGCCAGTTAGGGTGGATGAGGCAGAGTCTAAGCCTCCACTGCACTGAGCACCCTAAAGGCTTAGGGTTGCTCCTATCCTGCCACCCTGGCTTCTACTGCTCCCAAAGCAGGGACACTTACTTGGTTCGGAAGTCATCTGCAGCAAGACGGGCATTGTCAATCTGCAGGACAATCCTGGAGTTCTCAATGGTGGCGCCTTGAATCTGGAAGGGAGGAGATAGGCGGTTGGCACCAGATGAGCAAACCAATACCACCAGCCCACTTTCTTCCCAGAGAAGGGAAGTGAGAGGAATGAACGAACAGTCCTCAACCCCTAGACAATGCCCACTAGCCTGCTCTCTGGGAGACCTTGGCATGGGTCCATGCCCCAGAGCTGAAACAGGACACACTGTACGGGAGGAGGTTGGGTAGAGCGAGGCAGTCAAAGAAGCAAGCCTTGAAAGATACGTCCAAGGCCTGTGCCCCCATGAGGCTCTAAATGACTGAGCAGTGCTTAACCATCTGCACCCTCCACTCAAAGCGCATTCTGCCTTCAAGGAAGAGGTTCTTTGCACTGGGCATCTACTATGTGCCAGGCACTTTGTGCCTCGTCCTTCATAGCCTCTGAGACTCATGCCAAGTCTTGGAAATCCTGAGTTCACCCCAAACTGAAGGCTCTCTGACCTGAGGGGTGCATTCGCATCACCCAGCTCACCACTGATTAAAGGACTTGGGCTCATCAATTTACAAAGAACCAGTCACAATCATCTACCAGTATGTCACCAGGTGATCATTTGCATAATTATTGTTTTTATATTTTTTGGTTTAGTTTTGTTTGATTTGTTTTCCTTTTTGAGACAGGGTCTCACTATGTAGCTCGGCTGAACTTAACCTCATCAAACTCCTTCCTCAGCTTCCTAATGCTTGGTTTACAGGTTTGAGCCACACACCCAGCTAGCTGCACAGTTCTTTCTTCTATTAACACACAGAGCAGAATAATAAAAATCAGAGATCATTCACAATAGGGTAAGAATTGCTTCAAGAATCTTTGCTGTGGGTATGTGGGAGGACAAAAGAGAGAGACTTGAGAAAGGAGGTATATGATGCACAGGGTTCTTAGTGCGTCACCCTGTGAAAGCCCTACTCCGGCTTCTTGCTGACATCTCTGGCATATGTGGTCAGGGTCCATGTCCCTATCACAAAGCCCCATGTTAGACTCATAGAACACTAGAAAATGTTCTGGGGAACTGTACATTAGAAGAGCTGGGGGAGTAAGGAGCTGTTAAATGTCTCCTTGATTTCTGATACATTTCTTCAGGACCCAGTTCTTTCCTGAGTATGAATACCACATCCCACCCTTCAGCCCCTTTGGGTCCTTAAGAGCTTGTGACTCAGACTTTCAGGAAGTTGTCCCTGTACCTGGTCTCCAGGAAAGAGGTCCACATAAGCAGAGGCACTACCTCTGCCTGTCACTAGTTTGTTGAAATAGATTCTTTTTACTTTTCTTTCTTTTTTGTTGTTGTTCTTATGGGTTTGGTTTGGTTTGTTTAGTTTGGTGGGGGCAGGATGAGACAGTTTCTAGAAGCCCTAGCTGGCCTCAAATGCACTGTATGGCTGAAAGTAGTCTTGAAGAGATCCTCTGATCTCTATCTCTGAGTGCTGGGATTATAGGCAAGAGCCACCATGCCTGGCTGGAATTTTATTTTTTAAGGTGGAATTTTGGTATGAAGCCAGAGAGCTTCTTGAGTCTAGGAGCCCCTGGGTTGGAGAGAATAGCTAAGTGTGATGAAAACCAGACCTACTGAACCAGAGAAAATGCTAGAAGGCCCCAGGGAGTTGCAGGGGCAGGTAAACCAGCAGGTCCCAGGCCGAGCTCCAGCAGCCCCCACCTAAGACCGTAGCCCCAGGTTTCCGTCTTGAAGCGGCCCAGGCAGGGACTTATCTCCTCTCACTCTTAGGATCCTCTTTCCCCTGGATTTAAGGACCAGTGCTCCCACCAGGTCCCCACCACCCCTATGCCCCACCCCCCCTTGTCTGGCCTGCCCCGCTCAGACCTCAACAGGGGCCCCCAGTTCCTGACCCTGGGCGCTGCCAGGTTTCTAGTCCCAGCCCTCTTTGCCCCACCCTGCGTGCCCTCCCACATCCTAACGGGCTGGCTAGCCCGGTCCAGGTGCCTCCGCCCCACCCAGGCTGCAGGGCTGGGTTTCCGCGCCCCAGCAGGTGCACCTCCGGAGACCGGCCGCCGCCCACCTTGTCGCGCAAATCCTCGATAGTCTTAAAGTAGTGGCTGTAATCGCGGGAGGGCCCGGGCCCCTGCTTCTGGTACCAGTCACGGATCTTCACCTCCAGCTCGCCATTGGCCTGCTCCAGGGCGCGCACCTTGTCCAGGTAGGAGGCCAGGCGGTCGTTGAGGTTCTGCATAGTGATCTTCTCGTTGCCCGCCAGCAGCCCGTCGGACACGGCCTGGACCCCACCATACCCACCCCCGTAGCTTCCTCCATAGCCCCCGGAGGACGAGGACACGAAGCGGGCGGAGGACACCGACACGCCGCGGCCACCTGAGCCCCCGTGGATGCTGGGCGCACGGAAGGCGCCCCCTGCCCCAAAGCGCACGGAGCCGCTGCCCATGCCCCCGAAGGTCGAGGTGGCCGAGGACTGGCGGTAGCTGTAGGAAGTCATGGCGAGGCGGACGGCTGGAGTGGCGCTGGCCTGAGAGCTGCGGACTGCAAGAGGAGTGGCGAGGCCCTCTCGGAACCGCCTTTTATGCCCCAGGCGGGAGGGGAGGGAAGGTGGAGCGGGGCGGTATTAGAGCCGGAAGGAATTTCCAGACTCCTGAGTACAAATATGGGCGCTCTCCCCGTTGGACAATTCCTGGCGGAAACTCTGCCCCTTACTCTCCCCTCCCAGGAGCCAGAGGCCCTGCTGTCCCCAGAGCTGCCCCACCCCAAACCACTGCAGGGACCCAGGGAGACCCTATTCTGGGTCTTTATACTACACAGACTTAAACAACTGTGAGTCCTGGTCCTTTAAGGCCCCAGAGTTTGAAAACCCCAAATCACACCCCCCATGGGGTGTCTGAATGTCCCCTCCTTGTGATCATAATCAACACCCACACACATCAGATTCTTACACCCCACTGGAAACTACAGCCTGGCGAGTCCACCCTTTCTTGAAGACCACCTTTCCCTAACTCCCCCCTTAGTTCCTTGACAGAGACAGTTTCTAGATGGAGAGTGCTCTAAGCTACAGGCTTCCTGGCTGTCTGAGACAAAGTTGCCCCAACCTGCTGTGACCATACAGTGTCCTGGTAACAACAGGCACAACTGCTGGGAGCACTAGGCAGCCAGGTGGCTTCTTTACAACCTTCTCTCAGCTCATACCTGACCCCCAGCATGGGGTTAACCCAGCTCAGGGAACTCAGCACCTCATTCCCACCAGGGCAGCTCCATCCCCGCTGCCCTAGTCCCAGGGCTCAACAAGATATCTATTGGACTTCTTTAATATGCCCATGAGGACTCTGAGCCTGGAGGAGGCAGGTAACTTGCCCATGAGGCATTTAGCATCTGCCACCCACAGACAGAAATGTAATGGAACTTGCCCTCCTGGAGCAGCTCTGAGGAGCTGCTAAAAATTGCATGCTGGATCCAGGGGACCTGGGTGTTCCTCGTAGAACAGGGATGAAAGAATGATTGAACTAGGGTCAGCAACACAAAAGTACCCAAAGTGAGGCATTTCATAACAGAAGGAGCCCTGTGTCCATCCACTTCAACAATTCCACCTCCCTGATACATACTGCAGGGCACTGTGACAGCCTCACCCCAGTTCTGTAGCCTCTATCTCACCAGTCCTTGTCGCTGCCCCCATGGCTCCTTGCCTTTATCAGGGCTGTCTCTGTCTCAGTACAGAAGTCCTGTTCCTCAGAAGAGAGTGTTCAGGGAGACTGAGTCAGCCACTCCCTGTCTCCAAGCCTCAGTTTCCCCCTGTGAAATGAGGAGTGTTCCAACTCAGTCCTCTTGTCTTCCTAGTATAACTAGATCCCCTATAACTAAATGAAGAACTGTTTCTCTGAAGCCTAAATCCCCAGCAAACTGCCTTCTAGCCACCATCTTCTCCCAGAAGAGAGCAGGAACACACACACACACACACACACACACACACACACACACACACACACACACGCCACACACACACACACACACACACACACACACACACGGGCGTGCACGCCAGGATTGGCTGTGTAAATTAGGAGATCAGTTGCAGAAGAACCCCTGTAGATCTGGAGAACCCAAGGCTGTGTGGCTGGGCCTTCTTAAAGGCAGTAGCGGCCAGGGCTAGCTAGCCACTGTGAGTCACTCCTTATCTGGCCCTGAGAAGGAGGGGAAGGGAGAAATTGGCCAGATAGTTGCTAAGCTTTAAACTCCAGCCAGCACCTCTGTTTTTCTGGCCTGATGGGGGTTGGGGGTCTGTAAAGGGACTTTGTATCCAGAAACAAAGAATAACATCAGTAGTGTGCTACCTGGAAGATTGTTGTGTTCTGAGCTCCCTAAACTTCTGAGAAGTTTACAGTCCAGTCTCCTACCTAAGTCACATTAATTACCCTAGGAGCCATTTACAAAGCCAGTTCAGACCTCCTTGGAGTTTGCAACAGCCCAAAGAAAAGGAAACTGTCACCCATCTTAAAGACAAGGAAACCCCTCCAAGAGAGGCAGTGACTTACCAGAGATTCATTGCCAGGAAGCTCAGATTCTAGCCTGGTGACCCCAAGTCCCACAGCCTGGATCTCTGGCCAAGGCTCTGCTTACCCCAGAATATCCTAACCCCAAAATCCTATGCCTACTCCAAGGATAGTCATACTGGACTGTGACCCTAGTCACAGAGGGTATGGCCACAGAGAATACCCTGATCCCTCTTTCTGGCCTCAGCAGGGTCTAACCCAGAGCTAAGTAGCAAGGTAAACACCCCACATAAACCAGGTGGAACTGAAGGTCCCAGCTCTGTTTCCAGTCAGTGAGCAGACTGCCTACAGCCTGCCTGGGAGTGTCAGCAACTCCTCTGCCTTCAAGGGGACAGAACCCAGTCAGAGGGTCTCCAGACAGGGACAGGGTCTGCTGAAAGGGATCCCAAGAAGGATCCAATCCAGGCTCCCCCAGCTGGATTCTGCGGAGCCCACATCATGAGAGTCTTGTGGGAAAAGCTCTGACTTCCTTTAAAGTTTCACAATGCACATGGAAACCTGTCTCTCCTTTGTAAAACACAGCAAAGGAGGAGGAAGAGGAGGAAGAAGAAGAAAAGGCCTGATTCATTGAGTTATTTCAAAGAATAAATATGATGGTGCTTGTAAAGAGCTTAATCAGAGTGTAAGCACGTTATTATTACTTTATTATATAATGTTATTGGTGTTAAATAATATGTGGTTGTTATAGTTACAAGTATTATTGTTTAACTCTGTTTAGTTAGCATTTCCCCCAGTGTACTGAACCGTAGACTCTCTGTCTGGTAACTCCTAGTAATAGCCCCCAACTGACAGGAAACACTGATCCAGATCAAGAATTCTCAGAGAGGTAAAGTGTCTTGTCTGAGGTTGCATGCCTACTGAGAAGAGCTGAGACTCAATTCCAAGTCCTGACTGTCAGGCAGAGACTCTCTGCATCTCCACCCAGACATATTCTAGAAGTTTCTTCCACTTAGCAAATGCAGCTAGTTCTCAGAAGAGAGAGGTTAAAGGTAGGGAAACTTTTGTCTTCTCTGAGGAAATGGGAAGATGGTTGGAGATTGCTGGAAAGAAGCTGTGTAAGAGACCCTGAGTGGAACAGAACAGCATGATGATGACAGCGACAGCCGATGACAAAGGTTGATAATGGCAGCAGTAGATGAACATAGGCAGTCTCTACTGCCCAGGGCCACTTTGCAAAACACTGCATACACTATCTCAAGTTATCTGGTGAGTTTCATATTATGGTCCCTATTTTACAGTCAAGAAAACTGAGGCTCAAAAGGCTAACAACCGAACCAAGGTCAGCGGTGGACCCAGGCTTCAAGCACAAATCTTCAGCCCCCTGAAGCCACAGTCCCAGTCTTAACACTTTACTTGTTTTCACAGGGTGAAGGTCAACTTACCTTCCTCTACTGACCTGGAGAAAGACTTGCCCAATTGAGAAAGGAAGAGCATCACTTGCCAAGGCCCCTCCCTGATCTTTCCTGCTCCCATACAGTCACTGGGTCAGTCACTGAAACATTCAAGCACAGCTCCTTCTCAAAGTTCAGTCTAGCAGAAGGAATAGAATCGTGCTGAGGAAGAGAAAGATAGCCATGAAGAATGCTTCATGACCTAGGATATGGCATAAGTTAGTGGCCCCTTACCTAGGAGACAATTCTGGGACTTCCCCAGGGGCCGTCAGCATTGGGTCCTTAAGGTATTTCACACCCTCTCCTCATTCATTGAATAAGTACCAAACCTTTTCATCCATGCCAAGCATGTTGCTAGGGTGTGGATCCCAGACATAAATACAAGCTTTTCCTGTCACTAAGAGGCAGACAGCTTATAGGGGGTTATAAAGATAGATAAGCTTTAGGGGCTCGGAGGTTAAGAACACTGGCTGTTCTTGCAGAAGACCCGGGTTCGAATCCCAGCACCCATATGGCAGCTAACAACTGTCTGTAACTCTAGTTCCAGGGGATCTGACAGCCTCTTCTGTCCTCTGCAGGCATTACACAACATGGGTTCACTT